AGGAATTGCATTTCCTATAAGTTTATTTATGGCCCCAAATATGCTCCAACCTCTACCTCTAGCTTCATATTTCACACTCTCATTCAACTGCATGCAAAGATTAGTCACGGTTCTAAAGGACTTCAGAATCAATATTAATCTCGTCTGAGCAGTTTAACTATCGTTATTATCTTAAATATTTAAGTTAACGATTAACTACTAAACTCTTTAATTTAAAACTTTTTTAAGTGGGATAATCAAACTGGAGTCAGGTTGTTAAAAGAAGTATTCAGGACGGCAGAAACCAACTATATCGTGTTCTTTTATCCGCGCAGCTGCCGGGGAAAGGAAGGCGGTAGTAACAATACCTTTGCTAACGCGGCACACATCTCGCACTCTCTCCATTGACACGTATCTCGTTGGGAGGAGGGAGCCAGGCTCCTTTAACAATGGGCGTAAGCTCGGACGCCTCACGTTCCGCGCTGTAATATTAGTATTAGATTCTACGGACTCAATGAATTACCCCGTTCCGGCGAATTGTTGGGATTGTGGGAGTTGTAGTTTCACATCTTCCCAGCTTTTCTCTGTAATTTTGAATAGCAGCATCAATAATATGCCATGATCTTTTTAATAGAAATTGAACAAACAAACAAATAAAGCTAAGGTTGCCCCTCTGGGTCAATGACTCAGAAGCATTATGTATTTTAGTATAGCTTAGGTTAGTGAATATGTTACCAATTGGGAGTGAATGCAACCTTCTTCATTAGGTCCCTGCATTGTAATATGAAAGCTTTTATTTTTCTTGATTCTCTCCCGTGTTATTTTTATCACTGTCCTTTTTTCACTATTAAGAAATGCACTTGATTTCATTACACAGAATAAAGTTTGAGAGTCTTACAAGAAGAAACTGGCTGATTGCTTTGTTCTTGGGATTGAGACTGGCAAAGGCTCCTAATCAGTAGATAGTTCAAACAATACCTATGGTCTTGTGAAATTATAATTATGTATTGGATATTTTTCATATGAGGAAGCTTAAGGATATAAAAATAACAGAATAAAATCTAAATTTCTAAATTTAATATTTGCTTCTATAAAGTTTATGTGAAATCTTCCCTTTGCATACACTCATGTACTTTATTATATTGTAATCTTTCCACGTGGTAGCAGGCAATATCATAGCTAGGCAAGGGACAAAGAATTGGCAGGAAAGGATTTGAAGGAGTTTGCACTTTTTGAGACTAACAAATTTTATTTATTCAAATTGTCAGCATATCTGAAAAGGTACTTCCAGAATCCTGATTTTGGGCTACATTTGGGTTAACTACATAGACTAATATGGCTGTGCTCCTACAGTGATTCAAAGAACAACAATTAAAAAAAGAATTGACTAAGCATCCAGGAATATTCAAGTAAATGGCCTGAAAAAATTCTAAATAAACTAGGTTGCAAGAAATAATTTCTGTCTGCGTTGAAACTATTGTCACATATACTCTATATAATACTGAAAAACATTGTGCCTTGTGTATTTTGGATATTGAGTCTAAGTTTCAAGTTACATTTAGGTGACAATCCAACTGAGCCGTTACTCAAATGACAGCACATAAAATCTTGGCACGGCCTTTCATATCTTCCTGATTATATGAAATGAGCATATTATTTTTTTTATAAGAGGATTTTTTTAAAATGAAAAGTCCATTGGACCAAATTGTTTATTAAAGGCAAACTTAGGTAAAGTCATTTCACTGAATACAAGTGGCAAGCAAGATCTAAATTACAATTCTTCCTATAACGGGCATACAAAAAAAGTTACTGCCCTATTTTTTGCACTTGGAGTGCTCAGAGATACAGCAGCCAGGAAAGAGATGTCACTGGCCCACTTTGAGCACAGATGGATAAGCAAAAGAGTGTTTTGAAGGTTTTGTTGAGTCCAACAAAATTAAGGCACTAGGCTATGACCCTAACAGTATAAAGAGCAAGCTCATTGATGCCGATGGAAATTGGTTCTGAGGCTTAACTTCATACGAGTACATAGCCATATTTCAAGAACTACATTTCCCACAATGCTGTAAAAAAGTCAGTTTTCTGCTTCTCTCACGTGAGTGCAAATACCCGACCCTTTTGCCCAACATGCCTCTCGAAATGGACTCTACTTCCCGTGATGCGCTGCGCCCGGTTACGGGAGCCGACGGGAGGCGTCTTCCATCAGGGCGCGAATGCCACTAGCAACGAACAAGAATTGCCCGGCTGTGCTGGGCCTCCGGCAGCGAAAAACACTCAGAGTGGCGAGTGCTCCTGTCTTGGCTCCCTCCATCCGCGCGAGTCCCAGGCGGTTCTGGAGCCCCCTCGCCTTCGTCACTTTCCTAAGCTTTGCTACGCGTTTCTACCGCCTGCGGAAGCCGCCGCACATCTGGTATTGGGTTGCGGGATACCATGGCGATGGGGGCGGGGCTTTATTTTAGAGGCGGGACTTGTCGGTGGAAGAGAGGGTTTTTTTCTTTTGCATTGGAACTCACTTCAGATAGATTGAAGATTGGTTGTTTCCAGGTCACTTGTGCACTTACTTGTTGGTTAACCTGCCTTGGGGTCCTTTGCCCTGAAAGGCAGAATATAAGCAAAAGTAGTATTTTTGGTCTGTTCTTTTTCCATGTGCATACATCATTCTCTTGCATTTCTGTCCTCCTAACAACCTTAATGAGTTGGGTTAGTCTGGACTGGAGTAATTACAGTAGTGGCCAAAATTGTGGAAACCTTTTGGGAAAAGTGTACAGTAGAAATGCCACCTTTGGTTAAGTTTCCACCAATTTTTCTTCTAATTTCTTTATAACTGAAGCCTTGTTCACTTAATAATACTATTTTACATCACTTTCTGGGCAACCAGTCAACTCTTTGCACCATTACTTTAATTTTATTACGTTTTACAAAGCTCACTAAATGAAAGAACACCAAAAAACCCAACCAACTTGATAGTGATCACATAACACACTGACAAATGTTCTCTCAGCTTCAATACATGACATCAATAACTGAATCCTACTGTGATCTGATTGGCTCATTGCCAAAACAATATGACACCTGATTGCTCTCTAAACACTCATGCTCATTGGCTACAATCAGATGAAGGAAAGCTACTTAATATCAACCTAAGCAAGTTGTGCTTCCTTTTTCTAGTTATTTGGCTATAACTTTTCATAGAATACAGTACAGTTAATTGAACAAACTTTGTTGCATTACATTCTTGATTAAATTATCTTTCCATTGATGTATAATTTTATGGCACTACTCCAAAAAAAGAGTGTTATTAGCCATCAAACCTCAAAAATACACTTTTCCCAAAAGGTTTCCACAATTTTGGCCACAAAGGTACCCTGTAGCTTTATTTGAGTGAAGATGCAGTCTTGGCTTTTGGTTTAGTCTGGATGTAAGCCTGAATACGTGGCATAATGTAGAGGATAGAACAGCCAACATAGAACGGATCAAATACAAGAATCTGACCTGGTTAAGCAAAATTCAAATATATCAGGATTCAGAACACCGTTTTTGACACAAAGAAATGACCAAGCTCTTTGCACTTCTGTTTATCTGCAATATTGTACATTTTCCAAGGCACATTGTTGCACTCTTAGAAACATCACAAAAGAAATATGAAAATACACAGAAAATGAACAGAATTTGTCTCAGTAATCAAGCATTGTTTGTTTCTGTGATCAAGCATTGGCTCTGTAGTAAAAGAAGTGTTAATATGTTAAATGTGATAAATATCTGTGCAAGTCCATTCTAGAATATTTTTTATTGAGGGTACTTTGTGTAGAGAATTTTGAGGTATGGCATTTAAATCTATGCAGCAGTAGTCCTTTTTCTTGCTGTCATTAATGGCATACTGACTACTGTAAGTAGTCTCTGCTGTTAGTTACTGTAAATGGCATAAGGCCTGGTTCTATGTGGTACTGCCTCATAGTATTTGCCCGGCCAATTCAATCATGCAGGGATTTTGCACAACAGATTCCTTTAATTCAGGGGGTCTTCAAACTTGACCCTTTTATGACTTGTGGACTTCAACTCCCAGAATTCCTTAGCCAGGCATGCTGGCTCAGGAATTCTGGGAGCTGAAGTCCACAAGTCATAAAAGGGCCAAGTTTGAAGACCCCTGCTTTAATTACAAAGTGCCATTTCAGGACCTTGGAAGCATACCTTCTCTGTAGCAACACCTGCCCTCTGAAATGAGGTTTTCACCTAGATTTGGACAGCCCTTACCCTGCAGGTATTTTGAAGGGCTTTTTAAGGCATTTGGCAAGGGAGAATGATGCCCCTTTGCTTGGTTCTTGTCCATTTGTCATTTTTGCGATAAAATATAATGCTTTCAACCTTATAATGTTTACAAACTTCCTGTAAGCATTATAATAAAGTAAATAAAAAAAATAACAGTGATATAATGTAGAATTATTCATACCAAAGCCTATGCCTTAAAATGGACTTAGGTTCGTCTAATTATAAATAGGATCAAATAGCTGGGATAAACTTTCTTGATTTATTTTTATCAGGATGAATTGGAGTGTGAACTTTTCCAAAATGGACACAATACTTTTACAGCAACGTATGATTAGTTTTCTGTTTTCATGTATATCTTGGTTATAAGATTTGCTTACAAAAGCTATGATCAAAAATCTCAATTTTTAATTTTTCTGAGCATATCAGCTTCCTAGAAGCAAGTTTGTACATTTTAGAGATGCTTAATTGTGCACCGTATTTTGAAGGAAATGAAGATATGTGGTGAAAGTCAGTGTAATGGAGTTGCATATTTGTAGAATTAAAGAACCATATAAATTAATGTGAACAAAGATAATTCTTTACCTAGCCTTTAGTAGAAACTAATTTGGAAAGATCAGGTGCTTTTTTTCATAAACTACATGCAGAACTGTTAAGAATTCATCATTCTGATAAACTAAAAGTAAAGAAGACTAAAAAATGTAAGTATGAAGTTAAAATCCTGATAATGAACTGACATTACTTTTGTCTTTTTATAGCTGGGATGAAACACATTTTGGAAAGATGGGGAGTTATTATATTAACCGGACATTTTTCTTTGATGTCCATCCACCTTTGGGGAAGGTAAAAAGCTACTGTAGTATTTTAACTTTTTGAGATTTAGGTAATTTAGTTAATACTTTTGGTGGAACATTGTTACTTCCTGTAAGCATTATAAACATTTCAGTGGATAGTCTTTAAAATTAATTGTTTTGGTTTTATAACTTGGGTCTTGCTATCTGGCTGCTCTTTCATTCTTAGCTTGAACATGAGAAACAATCTCTTTCAAAGTTGACAGATCAGTTTAAGTCTGAAAGGTTTTAGTGTTACATCATAAACTATTATTCCAAAAATGTTCAACTCTAAAAACCTTAGTGCTGTTCCAGTCTAACAGAAGCTTGCTTTTAAATTGCAGTTCTTAATGTGACAAAAGGAGGAAAGTATTCAGTAACTGACTAGAGAGTAATCATACAAAATTCTGATTTTTAAAAATAAATATGAATCTAAATCTAATTTTTTGACCTGACTTCACCCATTATGTTTTGGATTTGAAAATGTATCCTATTTTTTTAACATTTTGTTTAACAATTAGAATTTACAGAGTTTTGTCATGGATAAAATTTTATAATATAGGAAATTTGGGATGCCAGTATTCCTAACACTAGGAGGGCCAGTATTTATAGTGTATTTTTTTTAATTGGCATGCCTACTATATACTTTCATTATATGTTTTGGAATGACAACTATTAGAAATAGATAGACTTTGTTCATTGTTTTCTATCTATGCTATTACCTTTTATATCAGTTAGCTTCCATTGTAATCTATGGCTAAACTTCATCTTCCTTAATTTAACTGCTTCTGGTCTAGGCTTTTGTTAATGTTTTTGATCTAATGCTTGCCTATAAGTTAATAATAATAATAAAGTTGGAAGGGACCTTGGAGGTCATGATAGCAATAGCTTTCTTCCATTCTCATTACTCCTGCTTAACATACTTAAGCACAAGGTTCATTTTTGAAAGTCATGAGCTATAGACAATACTTTTTATTTACTTATCAAATGTTATTTGATTTGATATGATAAACTTTTGAATTGTCTTCTGCTTTACTAATATCGTTCCTTTTTGTCCCTAGATGTTAATAGGACTTGCTGGCTATCTGAGTGGCTATGATGGGACTTTTCCTTTCCAGAAGCCTGGGGACAAATATGAACAACATAACTCTATAGGAATGAGAGCAGTAAGACTATAAATATATCTTTGGAGAACAGTAGTATGTTTCTCCTTTTACTTCTAATAAGTGTTAGAGCAGTGGTTCTCAATCTTTTTATACCGGCGACCCTGGTCATAAGGAGGTGGCGGCATGCGCGGGGGCTGCCCCCTGCGTGGCACGCATGCGTGGCACCGCCCCCTGCGCGGCACGCATGCGTGGCGCTGCCCCCTGCGCCGCCCCCTGCGCGGCGTGCATGCACGGCGCCCCCCCTGCGCGGCATGCATGTGCGGCGCCACCCCCTGCGCCGGCTGAAGAAAAAAATAATGGCGGATCGCGTTGTTTGGCGACCCCCGTGAAATGGTCGATCGACCCCCAAATGGGGTCGCGACCCACAGGTTGAGAACCGCTGTGTTAGAGCCAGAATTTATTCTGTCTGATACTTCTTCTGTCTGTGGAAAACTTCTTAATTCAGGGATGAACAGCTTTTTTCTATCAGTTCTTTCTTCTTGCAAACCTGTTCTAGAAGACTGGTATGATGTCTAGAAGACATCTATTGTTAGGAGCTTCCTGAATTACTAATGGTGCAAAGAAATGTTAGAGCCACTTTAGATTTTTAAGAAGAGATTTTGAAATAGCCTGTAATATAAACTTCATTTTTTTAAAAAATATTTCTTAAATAGTTTGCTGCATGTTAACATGAAATAAAATGTATAGCTAAAGTTTTAAAATGTATAGGAATAAATAAGGGAGATGAAAATATTTATTTTATTTATGTACTGTTGCTTATCCTGAGGGAACTCTAAAAAGTTACTTCAATTTTTTTTAGCAAATTCTTAATTTGTGATGCCCATCATTTCAGTTGATCCTCCTGTTAATATGAATTAAATCTACCTACGATGGAGCTTTATTTGTTTCAAGCATGCCAATCTTTATTCCTGCACTTTTCCTGTGCAAGTATAACAATATAGCCGATTGATCTGTAAGCAGTTTGGCTACTTTGGGGCACACATATTAATGATGTTAGAGTGGAGTGAATAGAATTAAGGAATGGATTCAGTATTTGAAGACCTGGTTATGTATGAGATAAAACAAATGAAGAAGAGAAATTAGAGAATTGTATCTAAAGTATGCAGTGCCTAGCAGAACAAATTTCATCCTTCAATTTTTTTTTAAACACAGAGACTCCATTCACATTTAATTGGATAGTATATTGAACAGCGTGTATATGGCTTTGATCAATAGAGCCCTGGTGGTTTGGTGGTGAGAATGCAGTATTGCAGGCTAACTCTGACCACAGCCAGGAATTTGATCCTGACAGGCTCAAGGTAGACTCAGCCGTCCTTCTTTCCAAGATCATAAAATGGGACCCAGATTGTTGGAGGCAATATGCTGACATTGTAAATGGCCCAGAGAGAGCTGTAAAGCACAGTGCAGTGATATATATCTTGTTTCCATGAAAGTAAGACCTATCCTGAAAATAAGCCCTAGCTTGATTTTTGGGATGGGCCTAATATATGACCTACCCCAAAAATAAGCTCTAGTTTTGGGGCAAGGCATACACCTAAAAATCAAGCTAGGGTGGGAATAGGGTGGAGCTGCTCTCTGCACCCCACACCCACTTATCAGACCTCCCATGAATGGACTCCTGCCTCTTCTCACCGGCCTACTTCTTCTGTGGCATACATTTTGCAGTTAGAGGCCTTTCTGGAAGGCGTCTGCAGCAAGAACCGAGCTATGGATTCAATCTGTAGCTCTGTTCTTAGATGCAGAGCCCTTTCCAGAAGGCCTCTGACAGGGAAATGCAGGCTAGAGCTCCATTCTCAGCTGCTGAATGAAGCTGTTCCTTCGGCCGCAAAAGAAGTGGGCTGTTGGTGCTGCCACCATGAGGTAAGTGGAAAAGGCACCCCCGGAAAATAAGACCTGATGTCTCTTTTGGAGGCAAAATAAAATAAAATAAAATAAGACTTGAGTCTTATTTTCGGGGAAACACAGTAAGTCTTAGTGCTATTGCTATCAATAATATTTTCTCACTTTGTGAAATTAGGAAACTATTGCATTAGCAGAATTTAAAGTTGTTATCAATGAAGAGAGAGGGGGGGCAGAACAGAACATAAACTGGAATTAAGAATTTTGGTAGCTGAATTTCTGGGAAATAACCGGCTAACTGTACAGGTAGTCCTTGACTTACAGCCATTCATTTAGTGAATGTTCCAAGTTATAGTAGCACTGAAAAAAGTGACTTACAACCATTCCTTGCACTTACAACCGTCACAGCATCTTCATGGTACATGATCAAAATTTGGGCGTTTGGCAACCAGCATGTGTTTACTGAGGTCATGTGATTGCCATTTGGGATGTTCCCAACCAAGTTCTCACAAACAATCAGTAAGGGAAGCCGAATTATCTTAACAACCTTGTGAAGAATGCTTCTCTTCCTTTTTATTCAGTTCAGTGCCTTCCTTGGTTCATGTCTGATCCCCTTCTGCTACCTCACTGTGCTGGAGCTGTCCAGATCATTGCCTGCAGCAATAATCACTGCTACCATCCTGATTTTTGGTAAGCAACTGTTTTGTATGGCTTGGTCTGTGTTCTCTATTGTGAAAGATTCAATGAGATTACATTAAAATCAATAAAGATTATAGGATGCAAAAACACAGAAAGAAAAATATCAAAAATAGCATTAATGTCTAAAAAGACAAAACCCCAGCTAAATAGGAGACATGTAAAATATGAAAAATAAAAAAGGAGTTAAACAAAACATACACTTCAAAAAAAAATCCATAGTTTGGTATATAATCCGGGGTTCTCACAGTACATTGTTCTTGACCCCAGTAGCAGGTGGCAGTTGTGGCCAGGAAGGCCTTTGAACAACTTCGTGTTGTGTGCAAGTTGTTCCCATTCCTGGATAAGCATGCCATTCTTACAGTCACCCAGGCCCTGGTCACCTCCCATCTGGACTATTATAATGAATTCTACATGGGGTTGCCCTTGAAGAGTATTCAGAAACTTCAGTTAATTCAGAAAATAGCGGCCCGAACAGTTTTATAGAAGTCTAGACTCAATGCTTCTCAGTGATGGCTCCTTCTTTATGGAACATCATTCCCTCTGAGGTATAGTTGGCCCCCACATTGTTGCTTTTCCAATATGTTTTTTTGTTAGCAGGCCTAGGAACTACAAAGACAGAATCAATCAAGTGGCTGATTTGATAGTGTTGTAGCTATTGGGGGATGGGGTGAGTTTTTTTAAAAAATGGGTGATTATTATATGGTGGCTTTTTTTAAATATTGTAAGCCCCCCAGAATCACCTACTACAGTATGTGTAAATTGGGCAGCTTTATAAATTTGTTTAATAAATAATAAATATTTCCTCTCAAAGAAAGCTAGATTTTTTTCACAAAATAATTCACCTTCGAAATAACAGGTTTATTTTAGATTCACTGAGATGCAGTCATCTTTTTTCTGTCTTGCCTTTATGTATGTAGGTATGTGTGTGTGAGAGAGTGAGTGAGTTGGTGTTCCTCTTAGGTTCAGAATCGTCTTTCTAAGTACAGTAATGTCTCTAACATGAAAATGTTTGGATGGCATTTTTTGCACATCACAAATTTACTTTTAGATTTCAGTATGATTATGTTCGATAAGCATTGCTAAAAGAATTTGAATGACAAAGCTAGTATATGCTTGTCTTATTTTTTTCAGACACTGGATTCATTACAATCTCACAGTACATTCTTCTTGACCCCATTTTGATGTTCTTCCTCATGGGAGCTGTACTCAGTATGGTTAAATATAATTCCTATTCAGATAGGTAAGATGACAGCATTTGATCATCTTAGGAAGTAGACATGTGCCCCTTGTCTCTATTACAGAGTATTTGTATTTATTTTTATTGTAACTTTTAATCTGGCATCAGGACTCGAAAGAGCTCTGCGAAATACTTACAGTATAAAACATAAAGCAATTACATATTAAAATGTAACAAAGAAGGGAAACGAATATAAAAAAAGAATATGTATGTAAAGTAGACCACCCTCAATTTGTAAGCATTTGGCATCCCATAGTACAATTGCTGAAATTAACAGCACATAAGGCTGGCAAATAAACTTTTTGTTTCAAATGGAAAGATTGCTTTCATAAGATTATTAGTGTTATTATCCTATCATTTGCTGCTATGTCACTGTTGTATTTTTAAAACACCCCATAAAAGTGATCATATGATACTGAAAAGTTGTGAAAATCAAGGGCAGTCTCTGCTTCCTGTTGTGGTAGGCTCTATGGGTTCTAATCAATTTATAGAAGCTTTTAATAAGACCCTGTCTTACTTGCCCCCTGCCAAGTAAAGTAAAAAGGATAGCTACTAGAAAGAGGATGCTTGTGGTGATACAGAATGATCTATTAAGTTTATTGGATCTCTGGTTTATCTATTTATTGGATACTAGATCACAGCTTTTTGGCACTGTTTAAAAAACATTATGTTTTACGATTTGAACTACTGCATGTTTCTCATCTACTTTTATTCTCTCTCAAAATCTTTATTATCGAAGTACATCATTATACTGTGCCTTTTATTATTTGCATTTATCAAGAAATGCTGTCAGCTTTCCAGTGAGCAGTGCTTATATACTTACATATTTTTAGTAATAATAAATTAGTAATAGTAATAAAGCCATGAAAGTTGTTAGGATAGTTTATCAGAGAATTTTGCTTACTTTGGCAGCCTGAAGTTGTGGGGGTGTGATGATTTTTTTTCCGGATTGTAGATGAATAGAATTAATCTTAAGTCTTAAGTGTGCTTATTTGGAAAAAAGACTGTGACAAACAGACAAAGAGGTTTAGAAAATATATGGATACCATGAGCTTATGTGGTTAAGTGGGTACTTGAATCTGAGCCTTCTTGTTGCTGCATAATGAGATACTATTTTTTAGTTATAGCTATGTTTTCTGTGTATACTGTACATAGAAAAGACTCAGATCCTTTAGCAAGCATATTCCTGGTTACTTTCTTTAGCAACCTGAAACCACTATAGTAAGTTGAGGCTTAGATAATCTCTCTAGATCAGGTTGTGAATGAATATTTTTTATTATGGTTACTTTATTAAGGTCATAGACAGAATTACAAACAAAAGTACCATTAAATATGAAACAAAAACAAAACATTACAATTGGTGATGGATTTGTCAGTGCATAATCAAATTCTGCCTAATTTTACAGGTAGTATAAAAAAATTAGCCATGTTGAAGGAGAATTAATCATATTGATCTGATAACAATAACTGATCATATTCCTTTATATATGATTATAGAGAAATTTTAATTTCCCAAGGAAAGATTACTGTTTTACCAAAAATGGTGTCCTCTGTGTTTATTGGAACTGCAATTCCTACATTTCTCAGAGGAAATTTGGAAAATAACAGGTTCTAGAACAAACTTCTTAAATATGTACTTCTGTAGCACTGTTATTTTGGTCCAACACCTAAAATTCATAGCCTTATTTTTGCTGTACTACCAAGGTTGTTGAGAACTGTAGTCCAAAATACCTGGGAGGGCAAAAATGCCTTTTAAGAAAAAGCATTTTTGGAACCAGGTTCTATCTTTATGAATTATTGATATCACCCTCTTCTCTGTAGGTTAAATACAATTCTTTCATACTATATCTCAGTGTCTCACAACCAATTTGTTTTCAGCGTTATTTTTTTTTCCATCAGGGATCCTTTATAAATAAAATATATTTTTATATAGATTGTTGAACAAAACGTTTTTCAAAAATATGAATTTTGAACAAAAAACACATATTTTACAGATGCTTTTCTGCCCCCTGGTGGTTCTGGCTGTGTTTGACTGGGGTGAACCTCGCTGGTGCATTGGGGGTGAAATTTGTTGGCCTTTTTGTTGTCTTTCTGGTTGGCCTGAATACTATCTGTGAACTTTGGCAGTTATTGGGAGACCTTAGTCTATCACTGGTGAGTATATAAAACTCATTAGATTTTAGCATTTGTATGAAAAAGATTGTATTCTTAACAACACACCACAAAATTGTAAGATGTCAATTAGGTTACTGAAATCAAGATTTTTATAGTTCATTCCAAAACAATATTGCTCGCTGGATTGCTTTATTTTTTTATTTTTATTCGATATTGAACTATTTTATATATAAATATGGGGGGGTTGGACTAAAAGATCTCCAAGGTCCCTTCCATCTCTGTTATTCTTTATATATACATATCTAGCATTGTTATTGCGAATCCAAATGTAAGGACATGTGTAAAGTTCTGCAAGTGATTTTATATGACAAATTTTACTGATGAACTGCCTTTAATTGGTTACCTTAATAAGCTATGATGTGTGTTGGGGAGCCGGGGAAGAAGCCTGGAATCATTTGAACTTTAGTGAAGCAATAAAGATTGCAGCCTACAAATTGGATTTTTGTACACAATAAATTGCTGGTTTATAGCTATGCATGATGAATTTAATGGCCTTTACAGACAGAGTTAGTTTTTTTTAAAGATGAAGAAAACTTCAAGCCATTCATCACTAAGAGTTTGTTTTCTGGACATAAAAAGCTTGCCATGGTAGAAAGAAAAATTATTTCTAGAGAGTAAATTATTTCTATGCAATGCTTAGGAGAAGTTAAATATGAAATATGCTGAGATTGACAATAGACATTATTAAATTGGGCCCTCCTTAACAGCAAGAAAGGAGGCTTTCTGGCACATATTATTTACTGAAAGCCTTCTGTGGATATTTCAGTGTAAAGTTATTTTATCAATTGTTTCTATTTCTTTTATATATGAAAATGTGTTCTTTTTTTTCTACTGTGTGATTTTAATTTTCTTGATTAAAATACATGTAGTGTAACCATGTGTGTTTCAGCTTTTGAAAAGAACTACTCTAATTTGTATTAATTGCAAATCCATGTTGCTTAAAACTCCTCTTGCAGATGACTGTTCAGAAATTCAAGCCGCACTGTTACCAACACAGTTCTTTGAATCTTAAACTGTGCAAAGCAGTGTATAATTCTAGATCAGGATTAGCAGAGACGGCTAAATTGACTGCTTTGATAAAAGAAAAAACACAATTACTTTTATTTCTACTTGGAAACCGCTTTTGGACTTTGTGCTTGAAGTAGAAAAAAAATGAAACTTTGATTTTGGGTTTTACTGATTAGATAGATTTGTTGTTATAGAAATGGCTAGTTTATACTATTATGTAAAAGTAAAAAGTTGAGGTTTGATGTTACTTCTTATTTTACTACACCAAAAGGAGTCAGAAGTCAGTGCCTTCCCCCCCCCCCTTTCTCTGCACTTTTCTCTTTCCTTTTCCCTCCCCTATTTTCCCTATTATTTGCTTTTGTATTTTTATATTTTATATTCTAAGCTAATAAAAAGGATTGGCAGAATAACTGTTTTTCAGCCCTTCACTACTTAAACTGAAAAAGCATTACATTGAGATTATTAATTATCTCCCTACTAAAGGGTATTCAGTTTGCTCAGTAATCCTTTTCTGCTATTTGCATTCTTAGATAAGCCAAGAAGAAACTCTTGCAATAACAATATAAGTTGACAGAGTTGAAGGATGAGCGGGAAATAGTGGATTTGGACAGCATTTCATGCATGGTTATTTGACAATATGTACTACAGTATTGAATAATTGGATTTAGTTTTAGCCAGCATATATTTGTTTTCCCTGGGTAGCAGCACATAGATAAATGTAAACACAAGGAAATACTGTATGTCACAGTATTTGGAGTTTTAAAAATAAGTAAAAATAAGTTAAAAATAAGTAATTTCAGAAACCTATTTTGAACTTGATTGAAAATATTATGTTTTGTCCAGAATTGTTTTTAGTTTGGTATGTAACAAACAATGCTAGAAATAATTTCTCTGTGAGAACTACTTTTCTACATATATAGGATAGAAGCATAATAGTACACTCTTTTATATTTTTAATTTGAAATAACAGTGCAAATCTGTACTCAAGAATAATATATATTGAATAAACATGGAAAATTGCAATCCAAATCGCTCTCCTATCAGAAAATCTTATTTTGGAAAAAACTGAAGTTTGAACGAGTAACAAATTTTGGATTAATTAATATATTTATTTTTTAGATAGATGCCATGCAATTTGGTGTGGGGGGGGTACACACAGTTCATATGTACAGTTCCAAAAGTTTTCTTGTTTGTTTTGAATCAAATTGTTTTTGAAATGACATATGACTTTTCTGTTCTGTTGCCATATTAAGGTACTCATGGCATGATTTACTATGAGAAGATACTACATCAGATGGAGCTGTTTTTTAAAAAAAATGAGTATGCTTTGTTCCATCTAATTTTAACACTAAGCAATTCAGGCTTGCGGCTTTATTGCTTCAGCACTGGAAAAATATGTAGATAACTTGTTTGGATGAAGAAAAATCTTGCCTAAAAGTTGATGCATCCAATTTTTTTTTTATTTCAGGTCACACTGGGAAAGCACTTCTTGGCTCATGTACTTTGCCTCATTATACTGCCTCTTGTCCTCTATACAGCTCTTTTTGCAGTTCATTTTGCAGTGTTAAACAGAAGGTATCTCATTCTGTCAGAGAGGAAATACACTGTTGAGAAACTCTGCGCTGCAATTGATGTAGTGTTTATTTGGACCCTCTACCAAGCCTTTTTTTTTAATATTTTTTTTTTATTTTCCATTTATCCAACATAGTTATACAACAAAATTCACTTTACAAAATAAATTAAATTCATAATCATAACCATAACCATAACCATAGGTGCCGCTTGCTCGTTCCCCCCAAGCTGTATCCACCCTCCCTAATACCTTCCTTACTTCCCTCCTCTTTCTCTCCTCCCCTCACTACTCTCTTCCCCTGCCCTTCTCCTCTTACCATCCTACTTCCTCCCTTCACCTTCCTCCCCTCTCATCCCTCTCGAGTACAGGAATACAGCATAGGGGAAACGCCCAAGCAGCACCTCTCTCATAAATTATCATATCTATATTATCCTAGTCTACCTATTTACCCACCCACTCACCCACCCTCAACTCCCCCCCTCACTTCCCAGAGCAGAGTACAGGGTGATTAATAACAAAATTAACAATATACAATAAAAAAGAAAAAGAGAAAAAAAATCATACTTAGCCCTTAACTGCCCTTAAATTACATTATCATAAACAAATCTCTTATACAACATTTACTATAAAATTTACTTATAAAATAAATGAAACTTTATAGTCCCATACTTCTTCTGAATATAATCTATCCATCTTCTCCATACTACCAAGCCTTTTTTAAAGACATTTAATTCAGGGTAGTATCTACATTGATTAATTGCAACAGGCCAAAGCTAAACAGGATTGAAAACCTCAAGGATGCAGAGTAACCTGAAAAGTAAAAACAACAACAACACCCATCCAGGAATGGCGAACTACTTGTTTATTGCTGCCAAGAAAACCTCATGAACTGCTGAGCTTGATTTCAGTGAGGTTTCATTTATTTTTAAATTGGCTAAACATGATTTTAATGAATAGTGAAGCAGAGCCAGCCAGGCTTTGAGCTTACTGCTGATTATGGCTGGGGACAATATCTGATGTGATCATTCACAATTTTGGCTGTTGCTTTGCCTCTGGAAATGAAAGGCTATAAAGAACTCTAAAGTCTAAACCAGGGGTAGGCAACCTTGGCTCTTTTATGACTCATGGACTTCAACTCCCAGAATTCCTGAGCCAGTCTACGCTGGCTCAGGAATTCTGGGAGTTGAAGTCCACGAGTCATAAAAGAGCCAAGGTTGCCTACCCGTGGTCTAAACCATGGCTTGATCTGATAGTATGTCTAAACTAAACGATAGTTCTAATGGTTCAGGACATTAGATTCTTGTAGACATCTAAAAGAAGTGGAAAGCAGTTTTCTTTTGCTGTAACATTTTCTTCTTATTTAATAATACTGTATACTGAAAGGCCAAGTACTTTTTTTTTCTCAGTGGACCTGGTGATGGTTTTTTCAGCTCTGGATTTCAATCCCGGCTCATTGGAAACAATCTTCATAATGTTTCTGTTTCAGAATGTGAGTATCTGGGTTATTGAAGGGACAAATGCTCTAGCAAACATCATAATTCTACATTCTAATAAACAACATTTTCCTCTATTTAGAAACATTTTAGATAGTTCAAAGCAAAACAAATTAATGATTTTTAAGAAAAAGATTTTTAAAAGGCAATTTTACCTAGTATTGTTTGAAATATTTTGATGTGCTGCCTCCAAATTATTTCTAAAAAAAATAATCGTTGTTATGTTTGATTTAGGGAAAGGGAATGTACAATTAAGGATAGGTGTGATGGGCATGTAGAATGCTTCTGTTAATGTTTTGTATAAAATTATGTACTTTATAGTGAGGCTGGGAGGGCAATATACTGATAAGTTGAATTTCACACATCTGTATTGGATTAAATGTATTTCATTTGAACATCATTAAGTGAAAAGCCATATGTTATTATACAGCAGATTAAATCCAAAACCACTCAGCATACAAATGTCTATGACTCTCAGTAAGTAGAATAAACTAGTAGACTCCCAAGTTGTACAGCAGTGTGGTGGTTGTGGTTCAGAATTCATATTGTACAACTGTTTGACTTAGTTATGACTTGCTTAATAATTTATAATAGTCTAGCATTTATAGCAGAGGTGTCAAACTCGCAACGTCACATGACGTGTCATGACATATCATGACTTTTTTTCCATTGCCGGAAATGGGGTGGGTGTGGTTTCGGCATGACACATCTGTCCCACAGGCTGGCAGTTTGAATGCTAAATTTTAAAAGGCATAAGCTTAAGCCAGACAAATTACATTATGCAAATAGCATATTTGTGAAAAAACAGTCAGTTACTGCTTATTCAATAAGCCATAGTTGTAGGCTAGTATGATACGTGAATCAGGTTGATGAGTCTCATAAAGTTGTTGTCAAATAGCATTACGATTACAAGAAAGATGCTAAAATGGCGGTGAATTATCTAGACACATTGATCTATTTTATATCTGTTTAGCAGTTTACTGAACAAGGAACACTAGGAAGGAGGTAACGGCAAACCATTTCTGAAAATCACGTCAAGAAAACTGCAAGGATTTGTTCAGGCAGTCTCTGAGAATGACACACTCATTCATCAAATTTGCAGACGACACAAAACTGGGAGAATAGTTGATGCTTTGGAAGATACGTTCAAGATCCAGAAGGATCTTGACAGACTTGAGCACAGGGCCCTACCCAACAAGGTGCAGTTCAGTGGTGAGAAAATTAAGATCCTGCACTTAGGCAGGAAAAACCAAATGTATAGGTATAAAATTGGCGGTACCTGACTGAACATTGAACAGTGGTAATTGTGAGAGGGATCTATCTAGGTATCTTAGTAGACTACCACTTAAGTATGAGCCAGCAGTGTGCTGTAGTTGCCAAAACTCCAATACAGTCCTAGACTACCTCAACACAAGTCAAGACAACGAGAAGTGATAATGTGGCTTTACACCATGCTGGTGAGACCATACTTGAAATACTACGTCCAGTTATGGTCATTATAATATAGAAAAGATGTTGAGACCCTGGAAAGTGTGCAGAGAAAAGCAACAAAGATGATAAAGGGTCATTAATTTAATGAACGGTTGAGGGACCTATGTATGCCTAGCCTATTGAAGAGAAGCTTCAGGGGGAACATGATAACTGGCTTCCAGTGCTTGAGGGGCTGTTACAAAGAAGAAGGGACTGACTTATTCTTTAGAGCACCAAAAGGCAGGGCAAAAAGTAAAGGGATCTCGTCAAAGAGAGAAATAAGAAGAAATGTTCTGACAGTGAGAATAATTAATCAATGGTATAGCTTGCCTCCTGGGTTGTGGATGCTCCATCACTGGGGTTTTCGAAAATAGGCTGGACAACCATTTGGCTGGGATGGTATAAGACATTTGCCTTGAGCAGAGCACTGGACTAGAAGATCTCTGAGATTCCCTTCTAACCCTACGATGGAAGAATCCATTTCCATTTGGGGAGAGAGAGAATTAAATACAGCTCTCTGACAAAATGAACCATAGCTAGGTAAAGCATGAATGATATTAATAACTTGTGATAATAAGAATCTTTTAAGAAAGGAAGTTTACAGTGGCTTTCAGTGAAATAAATTCAGGGAACAAAATTATGTTTGAACATTTTTGTGTGGAAGGAGACTTAGTGTTAGCTATCTTCCAGTGCTTTTGCTAAATGTTATAATTTAAATGTTATAAATTTAAATGTTATAAATCTTGATTTCAGTAACCTAATTGACATCTTACAATTTTGTGGTGTGTTGTTAAGAATACAATCTTTTTCATACAAATGCTAAAATCTAATGAGTTTTATATACTCACCAGTGATAGACTAAGGTCTCCCAATAACTGCCAAAGTTCACAGATAGTATTCAGGCCAACCAGAAAGACAACAAAAAGGCCAACAAATTTCACCCCCAATGCACCAGCGAGGTTCACCCCAGTCAAACACAGCCAGAACCACCAGGGGGCAGAAAAGCATCTGTAAAATATGTGTTTTTTGTTCAAAATTCATATTTTTGAAAAACGTTTTGTTCAACAATCTATATAAAAATATATTTTATTTATAAAGGATCCCTGATGGAAAAAAAAATAACGCTGAAAACAAATTGGTTGTGAGACACTGAGATATAGTATGAAAGAATTGTATTTAACCTACAGAGAAGAGGGTGATATCAATAATTCATAAAGATAGAACCTGGTTCCAAAAATGCTTTTTCTTAAAAGGCATTTTTGCCCTCCCAGGTATTTTGGACTACAGTTCTCAACAACCTTGGTAGTACAGCAAAAATAAGGCTATGAATTTTAGGTGTTGGACCAAAATAACAGTGCTACAGAAGTACATATTTAAGAAGTTTGTTCTAGAACCTGTTATTTTCCAAATTTCCTCTGAGAAATGTAGGAATTGCAGTTCCAATAAACACAGAGGACACCATTTTTGGTAAAACAGTAATCTTTCCTTGGGAAATTAAAATTTCTCTATAATCATATATAAAGGAATATGATCAGTTATTGTTATCAGATCAATATGATTAATTCTCCTTCAACATGGCTAATTTTTTTATACTACCTGTAAAATTAGGCAGAATTTGATTATGCACTGACAAATCCATCACCAATTGTAATGTTTTGTTTTTGTTTCATATTTAATGGTACTTTTGTTTGTAATTCTGTCTATGACCTTAATAAAGTAACCATAATAAAAAATATTCATTCACAACCTGATCTAGAGAGATTATCTAAGCCTCAACTTACTATAGTGGTTTCAGGTTGCTAAAGAAAGTAACCAGGAATATGCTTGCTAAAGGATCTGAGTCTTTTCTATGTACAGTATACACAGAAAACATAGCTATAACTAAAAAATAGTATCTCATTATGCAGCAACAAGAAGGCTCAGATTCAAGTACCCACTTAACCACATAAGCTCATGGTATCCATATATTTTCTAAACCTCTTTGTCTGTTTGTCACAGTCTTTTTTCCAAATAAGCACACTTAAGACTTAAGATTAATTCTATTCATCTACAATCCGGAAAAAAAATCATCACACCCCCACAACTTCAGGCTGCCAAAGTAAGCAAAATTCTCTGATAAACTATCCTAACAACTTTCATGGCTTTATTACTATTACTAATTTATTATTACTAAAAATATGTAAGTATATAAGCACTGCTCACTGGAAAGCTGACAGCATTTCTTGATAAATGCAAATAATAAAAGGCACAGTATAATGATGTACTTCGATAATAAAGATTTTGAGAGAGAATAAAAGTAGATGAGAAACATGCAGTAGTTCAAATCGTAAAACATAATGTTTTTTAAACAGTGCCAAAAAGCTGTGATCTAGTATCCAATAAATAGATAAACCAGAGATCCAATAAACTTAATAGATCATTCTGTATCACCACAAGCATCCTCTTTCTAGTAGCTATCCTTTTTACTTTACTTGGCAGGGGGCAAGTAAGACAGGGTCTTATTAAAAGCTTCTATAAATTGATTAGAACCCATAGAGCCTACCACAACAGGAAGCAGAGACTGCCCTTGATTTTCACAACTTTTCAGTATCATATGATCACTTTTATGGGGTGTTTTAAAAATACAACAGTGACATAGCAGCAAATGATAGGATAATAACACTAATAATCTTATGAAAGCAATCTTTCCATTTGAAACAAAAAGTTTATTTGCCAGCCTTATGTGCTGTTAATTTCAGCAATTGTACTATGGGATGCCAAATGCTTACAAATTGAGGGTGGTCTACTTTACATACATATTCTTTTTTTATATTCGTTTCCCTTCTTTGTTACATTTTAATATGTAATTGCTTTATGTTTTATACTGTAAGTATTTCGCAGAGCTCTTTCGAGTCCTGATGCCAGATTAAAAGTTACAATAAAAATAAATACAAATACTCTGTAATAGAGACAAGGGGCACATGTCTACTTCCTAAGATGATCAAATGCTGTCATCTTACCTATCTGAATAGGAATTATATTTAACCATACTGAGTACAGCTCCCATGAGGAAGAACATCAAAATGGGGTCAAGAAGAATGTACTGTGAGATTGTAATGAATCCAGTGTCTGAAAAAAATAAGACAAGCATATACTAGCTTTGTCATTCAAATTCTTTTAGCAATGCTTATCGAACATAATCATACTGAAATCTAAAAGTAAATTTGTGATGTGCAAAAAATGCCATCCAAACATTTTCATGTTAGAGACATTACTGTACTTAGAAAGACGATTCTGAACCTAAGAGGAACACCAACTCACTCACTCTCTCACACACACATACCTACATACATAAAGGCAAGACAGAAAAAAGATGACTGCATCTCAGTGAATCTAAAATAAACCTGTTATTTCGAAGGTGAATTATTTTGTGAAAAAAATCTAGCTTTCTTTGAGAGGAAATATTTATTATTTATTAAACAAATTTATAAAGCTGCCCAATTTACACATACTGTAGTAGGTGATTCTGGGGGGCTTACAATATTTAAAAAAAGCCACCATATAATAATCACCCATTTTTTAAAAAAACTCACCCCATCCCCCAATAGCTACAACACTATCAAATCAGCCACTTGATTGATTCTGTCTTTGTAGTTCCTAGGCCTGCTAACAAAAAAACATATTGGAAAAGCAACAATGTGGGGGCCAACTATACCTCAGAGGGAATGATGTTCCATAAAGAAGGAGCCATCACTGAGAAGCATTGAGTCTAGACTTCTATAAAACTGTTCGGGCCGCTATTTTCTGAATTAACTGAAGTTTCTGAATACTCTTCAAGGGCAACCCCATGTAGAATTCATTATAATAGTCCAGATGGGAGGTGACCAGGGCCTGGGTGACTGTAAGAATGGCATGCTTATCCAGGAATGGGAACAACTTGCACACAACACGAAGTTGTTCAAAGGCCTTCCTGGCCACAACTGCCACCTGCTACTGGGGTCAAGAACAATGTACTGTGAGAACCCCGGATTATATACCAAACTATGGATTTTTTTTTGAAGTGTATGTTTTGTTTAACTCCTTTTTTATTTTTCATATTTTACATGTCTCCTATTTAGCTGGGGTTTTGTCTTTTTAGACATTAATGCTATTTTTGATATTTTTCTTTCTGTGTTTTTGCATCCTATAATCTTTATTGATTTTAATGTAATCTCATTGAATCTTTCACAATAGAGAACACAGACCAAGCCATACAAAACAGTTGCTTACCAAAAATCAGGATGGTAGCAGTGATTATTGCTGCAGGCAATGATCTGGACAGCTCCAGCACAGTGAGGTAGCAGAAGGGGATCAGACATGAACCAAGGAAGGCACTGAACTGAATAAAAAGGAAGAGAAGCATTCTTCACAAGGTTGTTAAGATAATTCGGCTTCCCTTACTGATTGTTTGTGAGAACTTGGTTGGGAACATCCCAAATGGCAATCACATGACCTCAGTAAACACATGCTGGTTGCCAAACGCCCAAATTTTGATCATGTACCATGAAGATGCTGTGACGGTTGTAAGTGCAAGGAATGGTTGTAAGTCACTTTTTTCAGTGCTACTATAACTTGGAACATTCACTAAATGAATGGCTGTAAGTCAAGGACTACCTGTACAGTTAGCCGGTTATTTCCCAGAAATTCAGCTACCAAAATTCTTAATTCCAGTTTATGTTCTGTTCTGCCCCCCCTCTCTCTTCATTGATAACAACTTTAAATTCTGCTAATGCAATAGTTTCCTAATTTCACAAAGTGAGAAAATATTATTGATAGCAATAGCACTAAGACTTACTGTGTTTCCCCGAAAATAAGACTCAAGTCTTATTTTATTTTATTTTATTTTGCCTCCAAAAGAGACATCAGGTCTTATTTTCCGGGGGTGCCTTTTCCACTTACCTCATGGTGGCAGCACCAACAGCCCACTTCTTTTGCGGCCGAAGGAACAGCTTCATTCAGCAGCTGAGAATGGAGCTCTAGCCTGCATTTCCCTGTCAGAGGCCTTCTGGAAAGGGCTCTGCATCTAAGAACAGAGCTACAGATTGAATCCATAGCTCGGTTCTTGCTGCAGACGCCTTCCAGAAAGGCCTCTAACTGCAAAATGTATGCCACAGAAGAAGTAGGCCGGTGAGAAGAGGCAGGTGTCCATTCATGGGAGGTCTGATAAGTGGGTGTGGGGTGCAGAGAGCAGCTCCACCCTATTCCCACCCTAGCTTGATTTTTAGGTGTATGCCTTGCCCCAAAACTAGAGCTTATTTTTGGGGTAGGTCATATATTAGGCCCATCCCAAAAATCAAGCTAGGGCTTATTTTCAGGATAGGTCTTACTTTCATGGAAACAAGATATATATCACTGCACTGTGCTTTACAGCTCTCTCTGGGCCATTTACAATGTCAGCATATTGCCTCCAACAATCTGGGTCCCATTTTATGATCTTGGAAAGAAGGACGGCTGAGTCTACCTTGAGCCTGTCAGGATCAAATTCCTGGCTGTGGTCAGAGTTAGCCTGCAATACTGCATTCTCACCACCAAACCACCAGGGCTCTATTGATCAAAGCCATATACACGCTGTTCAATATACTATCCAATTAAATGTGAATGGAGTCTCTGTGTTTAAAAAAAAATTGAAGGATGAAATTTGTTCTGCTAGGCACTGCATACTTTAGATACAATTCTCTAATTTCTCTTCTTCATTTGTTTTATCTCATACATAACCAGGTCTTCAAATACTGAATCCATTCCTTAATTCTATTCACTCCACTCTAACATCATTAATATGTGTGCCCCAAAGTAGCCAAACTGCTTACAGATCAAT